CAAGTGACCCCGGGCCACTCTGGTAGCCTAGATAAAAATTATCAATATTAATTCCTCTAGGTAATAATTTTGTTGGTGGTCAAGGAATTGCATCAAAGAGCAGTAAGTAAGATCGAATAGCCCGGTGTAGACCACCTCGTAACACTCTTGTTTGTGCTATTATAGTAATTATATTTCTTAAAATTAATTCTGGCCAAGTAGGTTGTGGTATAAATTTCGGTAATTCTGCAATAAAAAAATAATTAGCGATTGTAAATTTTTACAAAGTACCTTGAAATCGTTTGCTTTTGAGCGATGATTTTCCACAGTTATCACAAATATAAAACAACGTTTCGTTTTCTTTTTTTATTATTTCAATTTTTTTTTTTGAAAGTAACAGATCAATAACTTGTTGAATAAATTATGTACAATCACAATATTATTTTATGTCTTTGTAAAATTTTTCATCTGGATTTTTAAGAATTTTATCATTTTATCGATTACATCTTGGTCTTTAATTGTATGTTTATGTATTTTACTTTTTAGTTCTAGTTCATCACATACACAAGAAACCGATTCTTCTAAACCTTCGAAGGTCATTACTTCTTGTAAGATATATAATATTTCTCTTTTGATTTTTTCGTAATCTGTATTTTTAAATGCTTCATAAGTTTTAGAATTTTTAAAAGTTTGTGTTCTTGTGATTGTCTTTAATTTTTTATGTTTTATTATTGTTGTTTTTTTTTCATCATGTATATATTTTGTTGATTATCTTGCATTCTTTCAATTTTTTTTAAGCAAATTCGTTTGTTGTTTGAACTGTTTTTTTTCCTTCAAATTTTGGTGTTTTTGTGAACGATTTAAAATTAAAGAATAATTTAGATAATGTATTGTGTTTTATTTCGGTTGATATTTCATGTTTAATTTTGTTTCTTTTTCGTGTCTCTTTATGCTGCTCAGCGTCTTTTTCCATTCGATTACGACGTTCATGTTCCATTTCATTTTGCCGAAGGGTGATGAATTCACACAGCATCAATATTGTCATTAGCATACGGACAGAGCATCAACGGTGTCGGCCTAAAGGCCTAAAACCAGACTCAAACTCAAGCATGCCATGACGACCAAAGACGTTGACAAGGGGGGAGAAAAAAGACAGACAAGAGGGGGAAAGAAGACAAGACACATCAACATCTCCCGAACGCGAGGCAGGCTCGCATAAAAATTTGCATGAAGCACCAGCCTGTAAGGCTCAACTCTTATGTGGGCATCGTGCCCATAACGTATCAACCATAGCTGAGCTCCCGACAACGACCCTACATGTTTCATCCGGAGCCGGTTCCAGAATCATCAGGGGTCTTCACGCATACGAGTGTCTGTTGACGTTCAAACACTAACTATTTAACTCAGACCAGACACTAAAAAAACAGGACAGCGCAGACTAAAGACTTAGCTCCTTTTCAAAGACCAAGCTGAGGTAATGAGTATGTCTCAACGGTAGATCCAAAGGTCGGAAGATCAAAAGAAATCCTTCCAGAACAACCAGTAGAAAATGCCAGACTAAGAGTTCAAGTACCAGAAAATAAAACCTCACTAGGCCCCACAAAAACAGGCCCCAAAGGTCAGAGGATCGAGGAAAGCCAATAAAAAGAGCCAGTCTAAGAGTTCAAGTACCGCAAAGAGGAAACCTCACTAGGCCCTAAGACCAGACTCTACAGGTCAGGGGATCGAAGAAACCCTTAGTAGCACAAAACCAACAACGTTGTCCTTCGCTATCGGACCCAGATAAAAATCCCAAAGGTATGCCCCTAGCCCAAATGGGTCACCTAGCCCCTTAAACACATCCTACCTATCCTTTCCTGCGTTCGGAAATAAAATTCATCCCATCCTGTTAACCACTCAATCCACTCGCTCCAAATCCCCCCGAACTTAGAGGAAAAAACCCGTAGAGATTTATCAAAAATTTCATTAGGATCACATAAGCTCAGTTCGACTTTGAGGGTAAAGAAATAAGTGATCTCAGCGGCCGGTATAGTAGTAAATCGTTTGGCACGATGCAAGAAGGAACCGACCACAACCATTTTCTGCTTTTTACTCACATATGAGCAATTGTCTTGCAGGTTATGGAAACGCACCCCCCTGTCCAGAACCACCTTTTGGTTCTTATGGGTAGCAACACATCTCAAACCAATCGGCCACCCAAAATTTTGAATGATACAACCTAAAATTTTCCAACAGTTCGTCTTGCTGGTACACTCGAGCACCAAATTCGCATCGTAACAGTTCTCAAAAACAGAAAGAAACGCCCTAACTTTGCACAGAGAATCCTCATCACCGATTCGATACTTGACAAAAATGGAGACGTCGTCGACGAGTCTAATCCCATAAACGAGTCGCTGATTATTCCCCAACGACTTCAAAAAAGAGAATTCTGAGAAGATACACAACATGTAAGCAATGGCAGGACTGGATGGTTTTCCCATTGGAATACCAACCCCCTGTTTCAAAATCCCTCCACAGGCTAGTATAAAAGTGTGCTCTAAGCCGAAACACGTGAAAGCCTTGATCAATTCGAAATGCACCAGATCCCAACCTTCTTGCTTCTTTCCTCGCAACAACTTAACCTCCTTCCCTCGACTTCGTAAAAGTACTCCGTGCACCCCTTTCAGTTCCCATAAATCCAACAACCAATACAAGGCCTTCAAAATCGAATCATGCGGCAAATTGCAAAACATTTCTTTGATGTCGTATGTCCCGGTCAACAGCGCTGCCTCTTTCTTAACACACTTATTAATCCTATCCAGAGAGTCAGCCAGCAGGTCGGTGCATTTTAAATTAAAATTGGAGCCCTTCGACAACTCCCAGATCAGCATATTAATAGCCCGGGAAATTTTCCTACAGGCGCGCACACTACACTCAGAGAAGGACTGGCAAATGAGCCGCCACTTCGTCACGTCCTTATGCTTAAGAACGACATACGCTTTGCCAATCGTGCCCTTACAATCCCACTTTGCCACTTTATGCAAGTCGTTCAACGCATACGTCATCTTGGCTTCATCCAAAACCTGCCTCTCATCCTCCTTGATTCGGGTCAATCCCTCATTACAAAAAAAAAAATTATTCATCCCCTCCTGATATAGCAAGGGGCAACATATCAAAGTGTCGTCGGGGTTATGATCGATATTTACCCGAACCAAACCCTTCAATCTGTCCAACCACTCATACATACTCTCCTCGGTGCATTCTGTGCTAACAACTCGAGAATCACCAAGACAATCGATAAGATCGGATCTCCGAACATGCGGAGTATCGAAATCAAGCTCATTCAAAGACACAATAATCTGCCTTCTCAGTCTCCCAAGAACATCCCCCGTGGCAGGCCGCACTACATTTCGGTTGTTTCTCACCCAACGAGGAGCGTCCTCCCAATCATTCATACGAAAGCATACGTGTTCATCCCTCCGTGGAAACGATTCAGAAGACCTATAGCACGCACATTCAGTAGCAATCGTCGTCGCATCAGATCAATAATTAAATATAAAATCACCCACACTCCGATTCTTCAACCAAACCACCCTCATGCGTCTAACTACCATGCGTTTCCATTCATCGTCAGCTTTCGCACGAGCCACAATCTTCGAGCAAGCCGCTCTAATCCCTGGTTTACTCAATCTATCATCATAGGTCACCCTCACTGTTAAACGTCATCTTACATTCACCCCGAACCTCTTCTTAACAACTCCTGGGATGATCAGACGGAGCTGGTATCGACTCCGTTTCTCTGAAAAACTTCGAATTGCAGAATAAGCTAATACCAAAACGGAAAAATCCCAGCTACAGAGATCCTTTCTTGAGAATGGTTGAGCCAAAAAACCCGCCAATGCCGGCTTTAGAATCAGTGCACGAGACATAAAATGTACAATAGCCGAGATCATGCAAAAAGTCACCGATCGGATCATCCCTCTTCCTTTCTTCAACACTTCGATAAACCCATCACTTTGGATCAACGATGATCCGTACTTCCTCCTTACCAATTTCCAGTTCTCCGCAATAAGACTCCCGCCTGTGCATGCAAAGCCAACAGATGAGATTTTGTTCTCTACACAGTAGTCCAAAATAGCAGTCAGCCTGGTAGAAGAGATTCCAAAAGTCGAGTGGAAAACCAAATGGGTGCGACATTCAGTAGATAGGACAGTAGCCTCCTCACATCTCTTCTTCCTAACACATCCTTTCCCTTTTTCCAAGTCTCTTCCGATTGCGCTTTCTTACTTTGACTCGACAATTCAAATACGGACATAATCTCCCAATCAAGAATTTTTCAAGACCAAGTAAGTCCGTCTCGTTACACCGACAAAGAGGGATTGCTACATACGAACCTACCTGACATCGCCTAAGCCAAGAATATAAACGATGATTTTGTTTCCCTCTCTCGATAACATTAGGTTGGAGGTTCGGTAAACGTGCTCATTCCAGCGAATTGGAAGCATTCTAGTCGTCGATCCTACGTACATATGACGGGACCATGGTGATAGAAGAACGTAAACAGGTGGCCCCTCACACCTTTCAAAATCAAAGTCATCCAGAACCAGTTTCAAAATATACTCCTTCACCTTCAAAACCCAAGGAATCTGATCAGAAAGGATGAGTCGCACCACCACAGATCGAAAAAAGGCATTGAACAATCGATCACGCAAGAAGAAAGAACAAGACGAAGAGCCAGACTCGGAAGGCCGGTCAACAGAAGTAGTAGCGCCAAAATCAAGATTAGACGAAGATGACGAAGCTTGACCACAACCACCAGATCCACAACGTTTAATCCTACACTCGTTAGCAAAGGACCAAAGTTTCACGTTCGGGAAAACGCCCTATAGCTCCACAGACCGCTCATCCCCTCCCTCCGCGTTACTTACCTCATGTGAAGTGTTATCGTTGACTTCAATGGCTGGTCCTTTCTGTTTAGATACTGGAGCTTTTTCAGAAGCTTCCCCAAAGATCTTCCTCGCTCGTGCCTCCGCAAGCTCACATATCGTGTCCTCGAATTTACCCACTTTGACGCCCTCCTCTCGACAGTACACTTCTAACCCCGCTTTCCGGAGCAGTCTTAACTGCTTTTCTGTTCCTCAATATATTCTGCACGATTGTTCCCCTCCGTCGTTTTTCTGTTCCCCACTGCAGAGACACCCCCAAATCTCATGGGAGTCGCTTTTTGACCTTTTCTCGTGGAACGGACCGCCACCTCCTCCAACCGTTCCTTGAGGTTGGTGCCTCCACCTCTCGTCTTGACTCCGCTAGCAGTGAGTTCACTCATCCGTTCCTCCAACTCCTTCACTTGCTTCTCTACTTCCATCCTCTTCAACTCCGCCTCAGCCCTCTTCTTCTTAATGGCGTCAACCTCGAGATTAGCTATTCGGTGGAGATTGCACAGATTATTGTACTCATCTTTCCATTTATCTGCTTCACGCAGATTATCAGTCGACCGGGGCTTCGGAGTCCCTCGGTCCGCTGGCTCCGGAGTGCCGACAGCGATGCTTCCCCTTTTGTTACCTGGACACAACGCTTCTGATTTCCACTGATTAACCTCACCCATAATAGCCTCATTCTGCCCTCGCAGCGTGCTGATTTTCATTCTCAACCCAACTATCTCCTGCTCAAAGTTAGTCTTCACATATGCTGACTGCTTCAGCTCACCTATCTCCGTTTTCAAAGCCAGAATAGTATCTTCATTAGTCTGCTGATTGGAGGTTTGACGCCGAAGCTCCTGAATCTCATTTTGTAGAAGTCGCACCTTTTCATCGTTCGATTGCCCGTTCCATGCGCCAATTTTACTTCTTAACTCTTCATTCTCTTTTCGCAGTCGTAGTAGCTCATCAACCACACCCCCATTAGGTGTCACCCCATCAGTCTTCTTGCTTCTAGTTAATCCCAAAGCTTCGAACCTTTTGTCCAGACGGGGCCCCATCTCCACTTCGAGTTGTTCTCTCTCTTTCTTCCATAGTAACTTATTCTCCTCCTCTTCCTTCTTTACCCTCTCCTTCTCTTGTTCTGCTTTCTGACTCGCTTCCTTCTCCATATCCTCCACATACTTATTATAGACCTTGTCCAGCCGCTCCTGGTTCCGAGTCCACCAGTTCGGTCTCCCCTGATTACCATGGTTGAAATTGCCTGGCGCAGTGACCGATGGAGGGTTCGATGTGACGGCAGCATACGAATTCGACGGAGCAGTAGATGAGGAAGGTGGATTTAGAGCAGGTAGGGCCAAGAGCGCTCCTCCCGTCGGTACGGCATTAGCGCCAGTAGCCGGCGGCCTGTTGACAAACTGACGATTGGGACAATCACGGACCCAGTGATGCATAGAGCCGCACTGAAAACAACCACTCGAGGGCGGAGCTCCCGTCATTCTTCTAAAGCCAGATCCTACTCAATGCACCAAACGAACACCGAATCAACAGTACTCGACAAAAGCCGACAACAATACACGAGCCACTCACACGTAGTGTTATTTCTACGGTGGTTACAACGTTGCCGAAGGACTCTGTCTCGGTCTTGTTTTCGTTGTAACTGTTGCTCTTGATGTATGACATCCGCATCAATCTTCTGCTTCATTGAAAGTTGTTGTTTGACAATGAACAATTATTTAAAAACGTAATCAGAATATATATGAAGTTATTTGAAAAGACTACATTCTTAATAGAGAAAACGAGAGAGATAGAGAAAGATTGAGTATGAGGGGAAAAAAAAGGAGAGAGACAGGAAAAAAAA